CCTAGCATCTAACCTTGAATTCTGCTAACTAATCTTACCCAAGATAGCAGCAGTAGCATTACAATTGATGTTGTTGTGTCCTCAGTAAAAGAGAAGATAATTGACCAGTTCAGTCAGTGATCCTATCAAGAAATACACAGGTGTCTGTCAATATTGGTCAGGATTGGAGGGAGAACAGAAAAAATGAGAGAAATGGTAACTATTTGATTTGTTGAACATGGGATGTGTGATACTGCAAGAAATGTTTTAAAAAATATTGGGGAACATTGTTCAGCTCGTGGAGCATGAAGTGCCATGTGTTGAAAGGGTACATACAAGGACTCTGAAATGCTAGCTGAAGCTAATTAATGAAACATCTGGTGGAAATTCTAGAAATTTAAAAGATCAATTTATTAACAAGCCAGTTAAAGAGAAACTGGGGAGGCGATGGCCAAGTGGTGTTATTGCTGGACTGTTAATCCAGAGACCCACATAATGTTTTGGGGACCTGGGTTCGAATCCCGCCTCGGCAGATGGTGGAATTTGAGTTCAATAAATGTCCGGAATTCAGAATCTAATGATGACCAGGAATCCATTGTCAATTGTCGGAAAACCCATCTAGTTCACTAATGTCCTTACCTGATCTGGCCTACATGTGACTCCAGAACCACAGCAATGTGGTTGACTCTGAACTCCCTGTGGGCAATTCGGGATGGGCAATAAATGCTGCCTAGCCAGTGACACCCTCATCCCATAAATGAATTAAAAAAAATTGAAACTATGAGATTTTAAGAGATTATGCTTAACAAACATGACTATGGTAGATGGGATATGCAGCAGTAATGCATGTGCCCCTACTGCTATTTGCCATCTACATGCTAGCAATTAGTGACATGATCTGAAAATACAAGGGAGTTAAAATCGATTCAGAGATAGTAGGAACTGCCGATGCTAGAGAATCTGAGATAACAAGGTGTAGAGCTGGATGAACACAGCAGGCCAAGCAGCATCAGAGGAGCAGGAAAGCTGATGTTTCGGGTCTGGACCCTTCCTGAA